TATCTATCTATCTATCTATCTATCTATCTATCTATCTATCTATCTATCTATCTATCTATCTATCTATCTATCTATCTATCTATCTATCTATTAATAGGTAAAGGATCTCAAATTACTATAGGTAATGGAGCGCAGGTTATTTCCTGCATCTGCTTCCTTTAGAAATCAAAAGGGAGAAATAAAACAATAAAACATGAAAACATCTCACATAAATGAAGAGGCAGCTTGTGAGCACCAGGTGTCAAGAGAAAGAACAATTTCCCATTGCAAATCAGTGGAATTGTTCTAATAAGATAACAAACGTTGGTCTTATATCTCTGTATATCAACTTGGTTTAATCAATTCCATTCATCTAAGAACTGTTTTCCCCATACCAGTATGGGAAACCCAACCCAACATGTATGTTCTTGTGTTGTAAGTTAGTTGAACAGACTCTTGATCATTGTATAATTATATTTTGGAATAGTATTTTTTGGTTTATATATTGTTTTTTCTTTTGTATTGGTTATTAACCACCCATTACTTATTTAAGGACAGCCATATATATTTCTAAATAAATAAATAAATAAAACTGAATAGTTTTAGTGATTTCTAGAATCTCTTTCAGGCCCATACTTCTTGATTCCCAGAATGTCTTCCATCTAAGTATCAAAATCATCCCTTATCTTGCCTAGCCTTTGAGATGAGAAAATGTTAACTGTCTGTTGACTAAGTGGTTATATCTGTATTTTCCTTGCTTAGGGGTAGCAGTAGCTCCTCCATTTACTTTAAAAGGCATTACAGCATATTTTCACAACATTAAAGTCTAAAAAGTACTTTTTCTTACGACGAGCCAAGTTTGCTTCAAAGGTGACTGGTATGCACAACACCAGTGCCTTATTGTACAGTCACTGCATATGTTTCTCTCCAGGGATTTATATTCCACTCAAATGGCTTACAACCTTCAAAAATACTAGAAACAGATAATAAAGCAGTAATGTGTGATGCAAAATATCAGCCACCTAATAAAACAGCAATCCAAAATAGTATACAAAACGCAGTCAAAGCACAGTGCTAAGGCCCAGCACATCATACATCATCGGCTTGATCAGATAAAAGCTGGATGGAACAATTTTTCATTAAACAATGGAATTAAGCAAGAGTGAAAGAGGACGACTTATTTCATGATTTGGGTGTGGCTACCAAAGAACATCCTATCCCTTGTCCAGAATAAGTATGTATCATGAATATCATCATATTGTAAATAATACTGTCTTTCGTCCTTAGGCTTTTCCCCTCTCTAAATAATCTCTGGTGAGTTGGTAGAAGTTGTTGTTATAAATTCTAATTATAAGATTTGGTGAGAAAACATTTAATACTCAGGAGGTGAAAATTGCCGCAGAAATCTCATTGGGAAGAACGAGTCCCTATTACCGTATTTTCACGACCATAAGCCGCACTGAAAATCCTAAAATTTGATCAAAAACCGGAAGTGCGGCTTATAACCCGGTGCGCTTTATGTGTG